ATCTGTGGGCTCTGACCATGCAGGGAAGGCCCTCAGCCCACTTTAACCAATGTGCTGTGACATTTTCCAGCTAATTTCTCCTCTGTGGGGCTTTCCAGCACAGTCACCATCTTTAAGTTACCCTGAAGAGGCTCCTGTAGCTCACAGGAAGGGTTGGGATGTGGACATTCCTGGTTCAAACCATCTGATCATTTTAATGAAGATTTTTGGGGTTTTATTCCCTTGGGAAGTCTGAAACCAGAACTGCTTCTTGCTCAATTTCATTTCCAAAAAAAAAAAGTCTTAAACAAAAGCTGCTCTTTGAAATCTCTAACAATAAAAAAAAAAAGGCAGTGCCAAAAAGCCAGAGCTGCCACATCCTGACCACAGGGGCACTGTGGGAGGAGTGGAAGAACAATTCCCAGCAGGGAAAAACTGGGAGCAAAAGGACTCCATTGGTGGGCATCCCCATGTGCCCCATCCCTGCAAGTGCCCAAGGCCAGGCTGGACACTGGGGCTTGGAGCAACCTGGGATAGTGAAAGGTTTCCTTTAATATCCTTTCCAACTAAACCTTTCTGGAATTCTGGGATCTGCTGGGGTTCCCAGACACAACTGCAGCTGGCAGGGCTCAAGCCTCAGCTCTCCCTGCACATTTTCAGGAATCTGGGATGGAGACAGCCAAAGGAAGTGCAAAAACTCCCTCAAAATCTCTGTGGCCCCATTCCTGCAGCCCCTGGTTCAATACTGCCCCATAAAGGACAGTGTTTGCTCAGGGGCTCCATCCACTTTATCCCAGAAACTCAGACCCATCCAATCTCCCCTCCTTCACCACGTGGGTGGATCTGCCCCGTACACCAGTGCTGGGATGCTCCCCAGTGTTTTTCTAACTGGTTTGGAAGGACAGATTTGCTGGCCCAACCTTTGCATGGCCATGGGTGCCCTGCTTCTGATGCTGAGCCCCAGTCTCTGCTGTGAGGGGATGAAAAACCTGCCCCAGGCTCATCTCCCCCAGCAGCAGCCCCAGCTCCCCATCCTTCCCCTCCTTCTTACTCTTTTCATAAATAATTTTAATATAGTCCAGAGTGGCTCAAAACAGGAAACTCTGCTGTTTTAGTTTGGTCTGGAGTCAATTTTCCTAATCCCTGCGGTGGAGTTGCTAAGTTACCCTATCCCAGGGCCCTCGCTGCTGTTTTCATGTGGAAAAAAAAAATAATAATCATAAAAAAAAATCAGTTCTTCCCTAAAGCGTGGAGTTTGGGAAAGCTGCGGCTCGTTCTGTGCCAAGGGCTGGGCACAAGGAGCCTTTGCAGAGCTGCCCTCTGAAATCCCCTTTGAAACCCAGCCCTGGAAAAGCCCAGCCCTGGGCGGCTCGGGCGGGGTCAGGAGGGTCAGACAGAGATGAAATGAAAGACAAACAGCGGCCGTGGAAAGCTTTCCCTGCCATCTCCTCGGGCCTAATGAGCCCTGGCTGCGCGCCTGGACCCAGGCCAAACATTCATTTACCACAAATCTTCTGTAAATGATTACATTACCTTACATTAGTTTCTGTAGTACCCCCAACTGTTCCTTCCAAAGCAAGTTAAGCAGAAGGAAAGCTGCCACTTCCCTGTAATTATTCTCCCTTGGCCACTGGGCCACGCTCATGAGGAGGTGTGGGACAGAGGGGGACAATTCTGCCTTCCTGCAGTGGCCTCTTGGGCACTGCTGCCTTGGGTGAGGGAACAGAGGTTCCCATGCGGGATGGAGAGGGTGCAGGGCAGGGATGCTGCTGGAGGTGCAGAGCCTCCCCAAAACTGCAGCTGGGAACAGAAGCAGGTGATAATCATGGAATGGTTTGGGTGGGAAGGGACCTTAAAGCTCACCTCATTCCAAGCCCTGCCAAGAGCAGGGACACCTTGCCTTAGAGCAGGATGCTCAGAGTTGCTTCAGACCATTGGTGATGGGTTGTGCTTTTGCTCCTGGGGCCTCCTTGGCTGCTGGAGGTCCCTGGGGCTGCAGTTTGGCCCTCAGCAGTGTAACCAGGCTCACAGGGAGGGAGGCCATGGCATCCCTGCTGCGCTCCAGGCAGGGCAAAAGCCTCAGAGAACTCCTTGGCTTGTGAGCTCCAAGTGTGGTGTCATCCCAAATCTGGAAATTTTAGAGAAACCTCATCTCTCCCTAAGCAATTCCTCTCTTTTCCCACTCCACCTCCTCCTTTCCCTACAGCAAGACCACTTGGCACAGCCCCTCCTCTCTCTGCAGCGATTCCCCAGCTCCCTCCTCTGCTGGACTGCTTTGTCCAAGCTGTGTTTGCCTCCTGGGCCCCTCTCTCCAGCCCAGCCATGTGCCTGTGAGTGATGAAAGAGCAACTGGGCCCTTCAGCCGGGTGCAAACTCACGCTCTGCTGGTGTGAACTACTTTTCCTTGATGGGATTGACAACCACACGGTGATTTCTCCCCTCTCCCCTGCTCCTCACATGACAGATTCCTGTGGCTTGCAGTACAGGGCCAGTTTGTTTATTTTCTCCCAGCCCTACATGTGCAGCCCATGTTGCAGAGAGGCAGAGTGATCCCTATCCTGACAGTTTTCCATCTCCCCAAGGCACAGGAAATAGCATTCCTTCGCCTGCCAGGGCTGCAGTTACACTGGGGGCTGGGGCTGGTTTGGTGCTCAAAAAACCCTTGGGAAGATGCTTTGAGATGAGCAGCAAACTAAAAATAATTCCTGGGAGTCAATTCTTTCTTAAATTAAGCCAGGGAGCACCAGAGCTCTCTGTTATTCCCAGGTGTGCTCCCCTCCCTGTGTCCTCCCTCCCTTCTTCCAGCCTTTTCCCCAGGCCTTCTGTAATCTGCCATTTGTTATTGATTTTATTTAAGCTGCAGCAGTTTGTTATTATTATTAATTCCAGGCACATTTTTAACAGCACTAATAGGCTGGAAGAGAGAAGTGCTCTCATTTGCACACCCCTTCTCTCTGGAGGTGATTTAAGCCCATCCATCTCCCCAGCAGAGAAAAAAATGGGAAAGGGAGATAAAGGCTGTTAATGGCGAGTTTAAAGTGCTGAGGTGTGAGTGTGAGGGGCGGGAGGTGACACCAGGAGGTGTTTAATTATCATCCTGTGCCATCACAGGTGATGAGGGAATGGAGTTTCTGCTGCCTTATGGGAACCCAGGAAGGCAGTGCTGATCCTGCAGTTCCTCCCCATTAGACAGACAGCCCAAACAGCCAAATATTGGCTTAAAATGTTGTAATTTGGCCACATGTTGGCAGCTTGCTCTGGAGCTTGTCCTTGTGCTGAAATCCAGAGGTTCATCTGAGGGAGCAGGGATGGAGGGAGCAGCTGCTGCTCCTTGTTACATCCATGCTCCTGCAGCTGATGTTTGCTGCTCACACCATGGGAGGATTTCCCAGCAAGGGAAAGTGCCTTTATTAAGGTGAATTTTGGAGTAAATAACTCCTGGATTATGCTTGGCAAGCGCTGCCTTGCATGGAGACACTGAGCACCCTCAGAGTTCGAGGCTGCCCTTGGAAAACCTGTGGGACTCTTTGTTGGCATCTCCCCCTTCACCTCCTGGAGTGGAGGAGCCTTTTCCAGGATTGAGGGAAGGTCACTGCTGTCCTGCGAGGCCTGGTGTGGGCAGGAGCTGCTCCCGGTGCCATCGATGCCATGGATGCCACCACTCTATCGATGCCATCACTCCATCGATGCCATCATGCCATCGATGCCATCACTCCATTGATGCCAACACTCTATCGATGCCATCACTGCCATTGATGCCATCATTGCCATCAATGCCATCACTGCCATTGATGCCATCATTCCATTGATGCCACCACTCTATCGATGCCATCACTGCCATTGATGCCATCATTGCCATCAATGCCATCATTCCATCGATGCCATCACCCCATCGATGCCGTCACTGCCATTGATGCCATCACCCCATTGAGGTCATCACTCCATTGATGCCATCATTCCGTCATTGCCATCAATGCCGTCATTGCCATCAATGCCATCACTGCCATTGATGCCATCATTCCATTGATGCCACCACTCTATCGATGCCATCACTGCCATTGATGCCATCATTGCCATCAATGCCATCATTCCATTGATGCCATCACTCCAATGATGCCATGAATGCCATCACTCCATCAATGCCACCACTCCATCGATGCCATCACCCCATCGATGCCATCACTGCCATTGATGCCATCACTCCATCAGTGCCATCACTGCCAATGATGCCATCATTGCCATCAATGCCACCACTCCATCAATGCCATCACCCCATTGATGCTGTCACTGCCATTGATGTCATCACTCCATCGATGCCATCACCCCATTGATGCCATCGTTCCGTCACCCCCATGCACGCGGCTCCTCTGTCCCTCTGGGCCTGCAGGAGATGAAAGCAATCAGAATAACAGTGGGACACAAGCTGTGTGCAGGAAAATCCCAATTCTGAGGCATCACAAAGGGGCCCTGGCTTGATCCGAAGTTGCTGCTTGCAGGAAGTTTGCCTTTTGTTTGATCTATTTTGCGCATCCCTATTAAATAACTAATTATTTAACATCTTTTAAAGCTTTGCTATATATTACAGCAGGCAGGACACAAATGGCTGCTTTTAATAATATAAAAGCCCATTAGCTTCATTTACTGTTAATGTTAAAATAAACATGAGGCAATTTAGATATACTATTCCAATTTCACGGAAACTTTGATGTTTTTCTTCTCCACTCACATAATTAAGGGAAAAAACTACTAATGATATTAAGTTTGTACAGTGTTAATGACAGAAACAAGCTGCAGTAGAAATTGCAGCCATTAATATGGAAAAATAAAATATTTAACACAGGAGATAAATGAAAGCAATTTTAATAAAGTAAAATGAAGAAAATTAATTTTAGAAACTTTCAGCATTCTTAAAACGCTCTCGGTTTGTGACACGTTTTGTGTGGTTTTCTGGTCGAGATTATTTATGATTATTTTTAACACCTACCTGTTTTCTTTTTTTCTCTTCCCATTGTTTTCTCTGAAGGTCGAATTCTGCCCTGATTTACACCCCATGACCTGGCAGCAGCTAAAGGTGAGCTCATCTCTAGGAGATGCTTTATCACAACCTTTTTTTTTTGGGGAATCAGGAGCCCTTCAGGCATTTCAAACCCCCAAATGCCATCTGGAGATGCAGGGTGGTGCTGCCTCATGGGATGGGGCTCATCCAAGTGGCACCAGCATGGCTACACAGCACTCCAAGAGGATGTGTGGCAGGGTTTGTGGCTCTGGAGGGTTGGGGTTGGGAACAAGGTGGTGCTGTGGGAGTTGAAGGCTGAGCCTCAGGGGCACAGAGAGCAGCTACAGGGGCTGTGCTCCAGCAGGATCTGGGCTGAGACCACCACAGCGTGGAAATCTGAGCCCTGGGAGCAACCTGGAGCTTGGCCAGAAACCAAAGGGGTTCTGTGGTCAGGGCAGGAATAACCTGGGTGCAGCAGCCAACAGCAGCCTGTGCTCCCCCTCCCATGGACTCTGCTGCCACGGAGACCAGAGCAGAGAGGAACATCCCTCTGCTCCCCATCACACCTGCTTCCCACAGGAGAGGGGCGGGGAGGGCTCAGCCCCAAGCAGGGAAGCTCTTGCTTCATGGCTCAGCCACCCAGGCCCCACCATCCTGCTCATTTTGGAGCCCCTAAAGTGAATCCATTCCCAAGAACAGTCCATTCCCACATTTCCAAACTTTGGAGAGAGGGCAATTGGCACCCACGTGCATTTCAGCCTCTCTTCCACACCATCAGCTCCATCACTAACGTGTGCCAGCCTTTGCCAGCAACCCATCTTTAGCAACAGCTCGGTGATTTTTTTTTTTATTCTGATGCATTTATTTACAGGAAATGATTAATTAAGGAATTCTTTTCATTGCCATTAATAGTTTTGCAGACAACCCGACGAGATAATCATCACACGCTGGCAATCACTTGCCATCAATTATCCCCACGCTGCTGCTGTCAGTGGATCACAGCCCCTACCTGGTGGGAGTCACTGCTGGTGCCACCGAGGCATTTTCCAGAAATGTAGTGTGGGGACGATGGGAAACAGCTTCCAGACAGGCTCTGAGATTGATATGCACGCCAAAGGGAAATGCATTAAACTATTTAACTGCCTGGAAATCCAGCATAATGAACATCCAAAGGTATCTTATTACTAGTGCACTGTAGCTTGCCTTTATTTATTTGTTAGCATTTAAATTTTGTTCCAATTAGTTCTTGTGTAGCACTCCTGCTGCAGGGGTGGGTCCTGCTGAAGACCCTCAAATCTGTGTTTCTGCTCAGGTGGGAGTGGGAAGGGAGAGGGATGAGGGATGGCAGACAGGGAACAGCCAGGTCAGGGATGGTGGCAGCACTGACAGGGACCTGGCCTTGTGGAATTTGGGTGGCCCTGGATGAGCTCTCCTGTCCTTCCCCAGGCCACCATTTCCCCACTCAGGGCCCATCACCAGGGGTTTGTCACCACCTCCACTCCCTGTTCCCACATCACAAAATCCTGAAATGGTTTGGGTTGGAAAGGACTTTAAAATCATCTCACCCCACCCTGCCATGGACAGAGCCACTTTCCACTGTCCCAGGCTGCTCCAAGCCCTGTCCAGCCTGGCCTTGGACACTTCCAGGGATCCAGGGGCAGCCACAGCTCCTCCGCCAAGGCCTGCCCACCCTCCCAGGGAAGGATTTCTTCCCAAAATCTAATCAAAACCTATCCTCTGGCAATGTTAACCTGCCCCTTGTCCTGTCACTCCAGTTCCCAATGAATTTTCCCTCTCCAGCTTCCCTGTAGCCTGTTCAGATCCTGGAAGGGGCTGTGAGGTCTCCACAAAACCTTCCCTTCTCCAGGCTGAGCAGCCCCAGCTGTCCCAGCCTGTCTCCATAAGGAGGTGCTGCAGTGCCCTGATCCACCCCATGGCCTCCTCTGGAATTGCTGCTCCAACATTTCCATGTCCGTCTTTAGTTGGCAGCCCCAGAAGTCAGCGCTGTTTTGCTGGTGCTTCCCAGCCTGCCTGTTGGATGTTTTAGGACAAACCCCAAACCCTTCCTCCCAGGGCTGTGTGTGTGTCCCCAGTGAGGTGTGGGGAGCACTGGGCAGCTGTGGTGGCCTCCTGCTCTCCCTGGGAAGAGCCAGGCACCCAGTGAGCAGAGATTTTGGGAAACTGGACCAACGTGCTCAGCAACGCCTGAGCCTCTCAAACATGCCAGAAGGACATTAAATGGAATGTATTCAGTGCTAAGAATTATGGTATCTTTAGAACCTAAAGTGTATAATTAAATTATAACATCTGAGATTGGAATTGCTTTCTCACTTGTAGGGGAAAAAAATAAGACATTTTAATAACATGTCATAAGTTTTACAGTTATTGGATTTTCAAATTGTTTACAAAAGCAATATTGTTCAATTGCATTGTTGTTTTGTTGGGTTTTTTTCTTAAGTCTTTTGATAAAAAGAATAAACTAACAATAATGTTCCCAGGAGGTAGAACAAAATTGCATTTCACTTTTGTTATTTGTTTAATTATCCATTTAGCCAGTCAGTATATAAAACTCATTTTCAGCAGATTCCTCTTCAAAGTCTCTGGCTCCAGCTGTAACTGCAAAGAGCTTTCAACTTTTATTTAACATTAATAACCCAAGGAAATCCTGGTGTTCAGGTACTGCAGAACCTTGCCTGCCATTCCAGGGACATGGGTAGGAGAGAACATCAGGCTGGTAATTCCCAGTTTTTAGGACTAGAGGGGAACACTGGCTCACAGTGTCATGTTTATTTTCAACAGGAAACCACAGGGGAGTCCTAAAAATCCACAGTCCCTGGTGGTTTTGCATTCTAAACCTGCTGGGATTCTTTTCCTGGCTGTTCCTCCCTGTTTGTAGGAGGAGACCTTGAGCCAGGAGAGGATTCTCCAGGCCATGACCTGGCTGAGGTTCACATTTGAAAGGTGATTTGTGTTGGGACAGGACCTGACCCCATGGCAGGTTTGGCTGGTTGTGTCTTGGTTTCGAGGAGATTTAATTAATTCATTTAATCAGTAGCTTTCTGTCTCCATCAAAACGTCTGTATTTCTACAAACCCATCAGTCCCAGCAGCCTTTAAACCCATGATTTGCTTGGCAAGAAGTTGGGCATGGCTGAAATCCCACCAAAGCACTCAGTGGCTCATCTGTGTAGATGCTCAGGTTGAAGCTGTTCCTGTTCATGGCACAGGGTGGAACCAGATGACCTTGAAAGGTCCCTTGGAACCCAAACCACCCTGTGATTTTGTGATATAAGATTCTATGATTTATGATTCTGTGATTTTATGAATCTGTGATTTTCATTACTCTGTTTCCATTATTAGCAAGCACTGCACAGTATGTCCATCAGTGTTTTCTCTCTTTCAGCATCTCCTTCCAGAGGCTGATTCCTGCCGTGTTTGAAGCACAATTGCTGATATTCAGGATCATCTTCCAGCCCCTCCCGATAGCTGGGAGCTGTTTCAGGCAGCAGCAGGATCCCACCCATTCCTGGGAGCTCCGCAGGATACCCCAGTGATAAAACCCTGGTTTTTGGGATTTACGGGCACATAACCCCCCAGAGCAGCACCTGAGCTGGAGACTGTGGGAAAACAAAACCAAAGAGGTGTAAAATGGAGCCACTTTCTTTCCCAGCCTGCATTCCTGGGATGAGGCAAAAGAAGGAGCTGCTCCATCCCTGTGGATGAGCTGCTCCTGCTGCCAGCACATATCGGCTGTTAAATGCTTACCCAGCACCGGGAGGGGGTTATTAGGAGCAGTGAATTCCTTTGATAAGTTCCCAGGTCATAAAGATGTTTGACTCCTCATTTGCACGTTCCTCTCGGAATCGATCAAAGCAGAAAAGCTGGAGGGTAAAAATCGATAAGAGAGAAGGGTCTGTGGGAAGACGTATGGATAGAGCTGGGCAGGGGCAGGGCAATCAGTTATTGTGCTAATTGATGGCAGAATGAGAACTCAGAATTGATCAGAGGCTGCCTGGGCTGATACAACTCAGTGGCTCCAGAATCCTGCTCTGGAGATCTCTCAGAGGGATGCTCGGATCAGCTGCACCGTTCCCAACCTGCTCAGCTGCAGGGGTTTATTGACAGGGAAAAGCAAAATGAGCCTGGCTCTGGGTTAGATCCCCCAAAAAGCAGGACTCTGCTGATCAGGGCTCCTGCTATTCCAGCAGATTTCCACTGCTATGTGGATCCAGGGGCTGTTGGTGTATCCATGAATCACCCACCCTCTCCTCCACTGAGGGTTTAGAGCAACCTCTGCCTCCCTCCAGAGCAGCACAGGACATCAAGAATAAATAATTCACCCTCCTGACACTCTTGAGGGCTGGAGCCTGTCCAGAGGAGAGAGGAGACTGAGGCACAGGCACAGTGAAGAGCTGGTTGCTCCTGAACCTCACTGTGAGAGGAGATCAGAGATCAGGAGATCAGCTGTGCACCAAGGCTGTTCCCAGTTTTTGCAGAGTGTTCCCAGCACTGCTGCTGTGGGATGAGACAGGAATCCTCCTGCCCCAGGCTGCCCTGGAAGGCACAGGTTTGACATTCCCAGTGAGTATTTCTGGGTGAAACAGAGCTCGAACACCAGAGGGAAGCCTACAGACCCCTCTTCTTGGAAGGTATGCAATCAGATAAACCAGATCCAATCCACCTGCTTGTGCCCTCCAGGTGGGAATTCCTGTTTTCCATGGGGCAAACTATGCTCCAATTCTCCTCCCTGCAGTTCCCTGAAACAAATCATACTTTGGGGATAATTTCTGGAAGATCTGCCCTGAAGCTGGATGGGAGGAAGGTCAAAGCCACCTCCATTGCAAAGCTGCAGCAGTGACCCCACAAAGGGAACATCAGTCCCAGATGGCTTCCAGCACTGGGAATTCTGAAGACCAGGTAAGAAAAAAAGGAGTTTAAACAAGGATCAGCCCTGGGGCAATGGGGTGGCAGGTGACCAGGCAGGGTTCTTCCAGTCCTGTGCCTCTTCCTTGGCCACAAGGAGCTGCCCAGAAAGGGGCTCTGCTGGTGCCCAGGTACCTTGGGCTTTTCGCTGCCCTGCAGCCAAGAAAAGGAAAGGAAAAACAAATTTCTTGGTAACAGCTGTGTTTCCTTAACAAACAACTGTTCCCTTAAAACATCCAGGATGACGAGTTGACAGTAATGAAGTAACATCTGTCCAATCAGTGCACTTTTTGGCAGCTCTGGAGCCTCTGAGTGAACGTTCCCTAATGTTCACCAGACACTCGCAGCACCTGCTCTGCACCCCCAGCCTCTTAGGCTGCCTCCAAATGCAGAACAGATGTGAGGGCTGAGATAAAACGTTTCCCCAAACAATCTATCAGTCTAATAGCATTGATCAGATAAAACTATCCTGGAACATCACTTGCTTTGCTTCGGGCACCTTCCACCTTTCCTGGGCATCAACCCTGCTGTTAACCCTTGCAGGGTACTGGGAGGAGGGTTTGGGCTCTCAGGACCCAGCAGGGCCCACAGTCCTGTTGTGGGCTACTGTTATTATTGTTGTTGTTGCTGTTTTGTTGTTTTGTTATAGATGATGGTGATTATTAAGTACATGGTGGGATTTTTGGGGTGCTCTGTGCAGAGCCAGGAGTTTGTCTCAGTGATTCTTGTGGGTCTCTATCCAACTCAGGATAATCTATGATGCTGTTGATAGGAATGCAGCATAGGATATGAATTCCTGCAAGGCTCTGCTGGGAGCAATAGTGGGACAAAAAGACCATCCATGGATTAAGAGAGATGTTTTCCGTGCGGGCATGGGGATGCTGTTGGCATTGCATATGGCACTGGGGACACCCGGCATATCCAGAGCAGCTTGTTTGTGGCAAACGAGCAGGGAAGGGCAGCTTGGGCAACTGTGAAATTAATCTTTTGAGGGGCAGCTTGTCCTGGCTGTGGAATTCCCCTTCTGAGGAGCCATTTATTCTGTCGGACCCAGGGCAGGGATAGCGGGGCTGGAAGGATGGGCTCTGTGGATCTGGAAGGAGACCAGGAGAGGTTGATGTCTCTGCATCACCCCCAGCTCCCTGCTGCTACAGAGAATTATGAAATCACACAATGGTTTGAGTTTAAGGCTCCTTGGAGCTCATCTCATCCCAAGCATGGGCAAGTGGCACTTCAGGACTGTTTATTTTCTCCCAGATTAGCTCAGGCCCAGCTGCAGCTCGGGGGTCAGCAGCTCTGGCACTGGAAGGTGCTGCCATCACTGGTTTTTGCTGTTCATTTCTCAGCAGCCTCTCTCATCCCCTTGGCTCGGTGTGCTGAGAGGGTCCCTGGGCTGCCCTCCCTCACAGGGACACATTTCTGTGCCTGTGCAGTGACAACACGAGCAGCCACTCTCCTTCCCCTGGCTTTGGCTTGACAGGCCTTGCCGGGCAGCCGGGAGGGGTGGGAGCGCCTGGGAAAGTGGGGAGCAGCAGATCTGCCCTTTGCGTTAGGAGGAAAAGCAAGAAAAGGAGGAAAAAGCAGCGCCGGCAGGGCCGGGAGCGGGACCGAGCTGAGCCCGGCTGCGCTGCGGGTCCGCGGCCACGGGAGGGCGCGCGGAGCCCGGGAACGGCACAGGAGGGCCGGGCCTTGAGGGGGCGGCTGAGAGCGGGCTGGGGCTGTGAGGAACGGCTGAGAGCGTGCTGGGGTTGTGAGGGAACTGCCGAGAGCGGGCTGGGACCAGGCTTCCTGAGGCGTTGGCTTTGCCCTCTCTGTTGCTGCGTTTGGAGCAGTTAAACCGTCAAAGTTACGTTGGAGGGAGCCTAAAGTCCATCCAGTGCCATCCTCTGCCATGGCCAGGGCCATTTCCACCATCCCAGGGCGCCCCAATGTCCAGCCTGGCCTTGGCACTGCCAGGGATCCAGGGGCAGCCCCAGCTGCTCTGGGAATTCCAGCCCAGCCCCTGCCCGCTCTCCCTGTCAGGAAATCCTTCCCAATATCCATCTAAATCTCTCCCAGTGGGAACCTATTCCCTGTGTGCTGGGGAGGGATCTCTTTGGGACAAGGCATTCTCTCCATCCCTTGTCCCAAATCCCTCTCCAGCTCTCCTGGAGCCCCTTTAGGCACTGGAAGAGGCTCTAAAGGTTCCCTTGAAACTTCTCGGTTGGCTCCTCTCTTCCTTCTCACAGTTCCTGGTACCAAACGTAAGTTATTTAAACCTGGGCCACTTGCACAAACAAAACAAATTCATTTATAAGAAGCCAGAGCATTAATGGGTACATCTGTCTTTTAAAACTCATGGAAGTTCACTGTTCTACTTCAGCTCAGAGCACACACATGGACATACTGTGGTATCTTTTGAGCTGGAAGGAAATTTGATACCAAAGTTAAATAATCCTGCCTGAGCTTCTAGGACAGGGATTGTGCTCACAGGCTGGCAGCAGAGCATGGCAGGCCCTGCCATGATTCCAGCTATTATGGGACAAAACCGTGGATTTGTTGTCCCATTAACACAAAGCCAAGATGAGTTAGCAGAGGTAGAAGGTGAAAGGTTTGCCTGCAGGCTCGCCTGGAGTCAGAGGGGTCTCAGCTCATTTTGTATGAAGTGCAGCCAACCATAGCCTCAGCATCAAGGCTCAGGGCCATTGAGTTTATGTACATTGATTTCACACCTTCACTCATTTGCCTTTCCTCTCCCCGGTCCTTTCCTGCAGATAAATTTAAGGCCCAGCAGAGAAGGAACATCCTTAGCTGGAAAAATCAACTGTGGCAAATTCGCGATAAAAGTCAATCTTCCGTGCACCTTTGTTTTACTGGGTGTTGCAAGAGATTAGACATGTATTTCATCCAGCTGGATTTTCACCCTGGGCACGTTGAGTTTTCCACAGGATGGATCGAACAGGAGGGAGGTTGCTGTGCTTTGCTCTCCTGAAGCCCAGTCCCAGCAGGAGCACTCCAGATCCCTGGAAATACTGACCCTTAGACGAGGATCCTGGGCAGGGATTTCTGTGGGTTTTTTTTGGGCTGGAATTGGAACAATTTTAGTTTTAGGAAAACCAATTGGCTGTGCAGGCACATTTCTCTGAAGTGGGGGATATTGGTCCAATGTTGCGGCAATGAGGGGAGAACCTCACCCCCCATTTTTAGTTTCTGGAGCTGTGGCCCCTTTTCTTTCTAGTTTGGTTGATCTAGGTGTCCCTGGGGTTCTCCACAGCAAACATTCCCAGCTCCTTTACTCTTTCTTCCTGCCTTATGCTGCAACCTGAAACAAGTTTTGCCTTTAACCCAGGAAAAAATACACTCTGTATTGTTTCCTGCATCCTCTCCAGTCCCCATTCTCTTTCCCCACTCTAGCACAGTTATTCAGTTGATAAATTTGGCAAATGCATGTCAGGGCACTTCAGACATCAACCCTGAGCTGGTTTTATTGGCAGCAGTGAGATCCTGGGCACATTTGCAAGAAGCATCTCTGAGCTGTGGGTCCAAAAGTGGGAACTGCTGGTATGAGCTGGACTCATCCTTAGGGAAGAGCCTTCCCTATCCCTTGAGGGACCCAGTTCTCCTGCAGGAGAGCCACAGCCCTTGGCTTTGCCAAGTGTTTATCCCACTGGAGCAGTGCAGCCCCAGCTGCGAGGCATGAGCTGGATCAGGCATCTCCTTCCAGGCTTTGTTTGGACGAAGCAGTGCTGCTCCCAGCTGCAGTGTTTGATCTTTTCCAGAGCTGAGGAGATAAGAGCAGGGTCCTCAGGGAGCTGGGAAACCCTCCCTGCTCTGCAGAGTGAGGCGAACGCTCTGAGCAGCACTGGGACCCTCAGGGGAGGGAGTGCTTTTCTTACAGTGCCATAAATCACAGCTCCAAGGCTGCTCTGTCAGAAGGGAGAAGCAGGGAAGGGGCAGTGGAGCAGTTTTTAACCCTGGATCACCTGGAGGGCTGGGATGTGCCCTGGTGTGGCAGAGTTGCCCTGTGTGTCCCAGTGTGGGAGCTGCGCTGCTCTGCCCCACTCCTTCATTTGTAATTGGCAATTACGAGCAGAGCAGGTCAAGGAAAATGTCTACAAAGTCATCACACCTTCCTCTAGAATAAATCTTCTCTCTTTCTAAGTAGAATGGGAGAAGAAAGAGGAGGAAGAGGTGACTTAGGAGAGAAAGGATATTCAGGAGTAAGGAATGCCCAGGTTGGCACCACTGTGAGCCCCCCAGAGAATTGTGGTGGAGCATCCTCCTCATTCACAACCACCAGCATTGGGGGTGACTGTAGGGAAACAGTGACCAAAACTCCTCATGGCCTTTGCTATGTGTATCCCACAAAAATGTGCTTTCATCCCAGAATAACGGGGGAAGAAAGTCTGTGGTTTCATCCCTGGCGTCTACAAAAGGGATAAAACCCCCCCTTATCTCTCATAACCATAAATGGCTGCTTTTCTTAGGGATTTGGGAGCAGGGTGACCTGGCATGGGGTGATTCATGCAGCCAGGGCAGCAGGAATTCCTCCTGAAAGGTGTCCTTCCCTCAATCTGCTTTTTGCCGTGTGAGTAACAGGGAACCTCAGCTCTCTGTTATTAATATGCCATCAGACCATATGTTCTCAGCCTCAGCCCATATGTATTTTTGAAAAGAACCACCTGTGAGTAATTCTGCCTCCTCAGAGGAGTGAGTAAAATCTGCTTCGGTGTGTGTGTGCTGTGTAGGGAAGGAGGACTCCAGGATTTTAGGGAATTTGTAGGAATTTTGCTGTTTTGGGCCTGCCCTGCTGCGGCTCGGGGGTTACCTGGTCCCTGTGCCATCAGCTGTGCCACCTCGCCGCGGCACAAAGCAGCCGTGAGGAGAGGCTGTTGTTGTTTTCAGGGCATGGACGGTGGTTCTGCTGTCCCAGGGTATTTGAACAGCTGCCCCGCGCGGTGCAGGCGGAGCCGGGATGGCAGCGCTGCCGGTGACTCACCCCGCTGCCAGGGACAAAGCACAGAGCCAGCGGGGATGCCAACGGTGAGAGGCTGCCCTGCTCCTGCTCGGGGCGCTGCCAGGGCTCAGTTACCCCAGACAGGCACAGCTGTGTGCCTGACCTGGCCACAGCCTCCTTTTTATTTACCTCTGTTTTTAAGGGATTTCAGATGGACCGAGGCCCTTTGCAGAGCTCTTAGAGCCTCTCACCCACTGCAGCCCTAAGGGATACCCCAAACACAGTTGTGACTCTCCCATTTTCTGAGGGTTAAATCCCTGTCTGAGCTGCTGGGGATGGCTGCACTCCCAGCTGAGAGGCAGAAGGACAGAGCCACTGAGAGGGGCAGCTGCCCTTTGGAAAGAAACTTCACCTTTTTGGTTTCAGGGAAACCAAGGCGCTATTGCAGCAGCAACCACGGGCCAGTGAAAGTCTGGAAGTAGCTATTGTTTGCAGATGCAGGAGAAAATGTTTGCTAAACACGTAATGAATCAGTGTTTTAAGGGATTGAAACCACATGCCTGTGTGGCTGATGTGTGGATTTCTTCATGGTAAAATGTTAATGAGAAACTCTTGGGCGAGCCAGTTCCAGTAAGCCATATAGCCCAAGCCTGTGTGATGCTGGGAATGCAGGAGAGAGGAGCAGAATTTTTTTTAAAATGCTGTGAATACAACAGAGGAGTTGTTTCCCATCCCTTTTATGCCCTGCGCGTGCTCTCCTCACTCCCCGGGCACACACGTGGCAAAGCCCAGGACAATTCCTGTCCCTTGCAGGGCACTGCAGGAGGGAAGAGTGCGCATGTGGAAAGCCAGCACCTTGGATCACTCCCCTCCGTCTGAGCAGCCTGGCTGCAACTCACAGAGGCTTTTTTCCCTTGCAGACGGAAAATATTCCTCAGTGGAGCCCCAGGATTTGAGTGACACAACAACAATATTCCCTCCAAGCGTGTGGGGCAGCCAGGTGAGAGAGGCTTTGCTGGCACCGCCAGGGATGCGCTGATGCTGGCTCCTGGCCCCGGCCGGAGGCTTCGAAGCACACGATGCTTTCCAAAGTGGGATTGCACCTGGAGATTTGCACCTTCTCCAGCCTGGAAGGAGCAGCCAGAATGGCAGTGCCTTGCTGAGGCTGTGCTACAACAAGTGCCCAGGTATTTTCCACCACAGTTTGGTTTTGAGGGGTTAAAATTGCCCAGGAGTTACACCCCAGATTTTATCAGATTCAGATTTGGGTTTAGGAGGAATTCCAAGCTTTTGGGCAAGGTGTTGGATTTCAATGCTCACTGCGTCCAGTCAGTGGAGCCATTCAGAAACATCAGCTCCCCGTGGCTTGGCAGAGAGCAGATCTGCTCCCTGCACACAGTCCCAGTTCAAGGGACAGGGAGGTCACTGGTGCTGCAGGGACAGCAGCATCACCAGCAGGCACCGAGCTCCCAGCCACCCACCAAATGCCAGTTTGGGCAGGAGTATTGCAAATTGCTGCTTCCCTGGGTCATCCAGGGCACTCAGCAAAATCATAAAATGGTTAAAATTTGGAAAAGACCTCCCAGGTCATGAAGTCCAACCAAGTCCTTCAGCATACGTTTAACACCAAGTTTACTCAAGATTCAGTTTAGCACAATTGCTCATTTTAATGCCTCAATTGGCTCAGGCACCAGATACAGTTGCTGTATGTGCCATCCCTTTTAGCCTGCTTTCCTCTCTATCATTTGGGCAGCAAATGCTTGCTCAACCCCATTCTGCTCCAGCTGCAAAGCTTCACTCCTGCTTTTTAGAGAAATTAGGAAGTTGTATGTTGTGCAAACAAAGTGTGCCATGTGTGGCCTGAGAGTTTCATTCATTCATTTGTTTAGGAGAAAGAAAGGGAAAAGCAAAAGGGCCCAGTGCAACTAAGAAAACAGAAATTGGGAAATAAAATTTTAGTGACGATCATTTCAGGCCCGCTGGGGTTATGCATCATGGGTCTGGAAGGGAAATGGGCTTATCAGATCCTTTGCCTTTTGTACAGATAAAGAAAATATTTCCTTACAGAAGTACACCATAAAATCTGGCACCAAAAGTCTGTCTTGGCTCGGTAGCAAGAGTACAGTGTGGGGGTTTGGTCCATAAATGTGGTGAAAATCCATATTCCCAAGCAGAGAAGCTGTGCAAGGCAAAGTTTGCAGAGCAGACCTGACCTTTGTTTATGAATCACTTAAATCATACATTTAATGTAATGCAGAAGGATTAACCCACTACAGATTTTTGAAAGTAAGCTTTAGAAAGATCACTCTCATACATTGTGGGGTTTTTTAGAGCAATGCCTCAATTTAATCTATGTGGAAGCTATTGTTTAAGCTGTTAAATTCCATAGGATTTCTCATGGGATTGAGGATGAGTGAGAGGTAGACAGACAGCTGATGACCAACACTGACTATTCCAGCTGCTGTTTTCTCTCCAGGGCCTGTCTTTAGTAGGGGCAATCTTAAATGTCACGCCTCGACCAAGGAACAGAGATACTTCCAGGTGCCCTTTCCTGGTGATCTCATGTCTGCACCAGGGAGACCTTAATTACAAATGCTAGGAACAGCAAGGGGGGTGCATCCCACCACCCCTGCAGCCCCCCTGCAGCAGGGCCCTGCTCTCTCCCTCCCCAGCCTGTTTACTGCAGCCTCCAGCACCAGCGGTCGGAGCAAAGGGAGGAGCGGGGTTTTGGCTTTAGGGCTCAGCACCAAAAATAAAACTCTACTGAAAGCCAGGCAGAGCTGGGAACCTTGAGAGAGGCTCCCGCCCAAGCAGCCAGACGGGCTTCCTCGGGTGGAAAATTAGAGATGGGCACTGAGCAGCCGTGGGCGGAGGGCGCTGCTGGAGGACTCACAGAAACCAAGGCTGCCCTGACACAGACACAGCTGGGGCTCCAGTAACCAGTGCCCCACTCTGGGGTAAGCACCACAGGGCTGGGGGGCTGGCCAAGCCCAGGGGGGAGCCCTGGAGGCAGCAGGGAGAGCCGTGTGGGTGCTTATGGAGCTGGGTGCTGCTGGGCAGCCCCTGGCACAGGTGCCCAGAGGAGCTGGGGCTGCCCCTGGATCCCTGGCAGTGCCCAAGGCCAGGCTGGATGGGGCTTGGAGCACCTGGCACAGTGGAAGGTGTCCCTGCCATGGCAGGGAGTGGAAAAGGATGGGCTTTAAGGTCCCTCCAGCCCAAACTATTCTGGGATGATCTCCCACAGCCTCAGGCAGTGCAGTACATACCCTACCTAGGGCCAACCTCTCTCCTTCAAATACACTACTGATATTCACCCATATTGTTTTGATTTTGGCATCTGGCCTCTGCCACCTCTGCTTGGAAATGGTGCCACAAGACCATTTTGTGTCAGCAGCTTACCAGGTGACACCAGGTGTGTGTCTCTGCTCAGATGTGTCCCCAGGCCTCTGCCCCTCCATCTGTCTCCTCTGATGGACCAAGAAATAGACACAGCTTTTGTAAGCCCACAGAGTGACTCTCCAAATTCATATTTGCAGAAAGACATTAATGTTCACATGTGGTGTCAGAACAAGATAAGTGTCTGTGCAATTAAGAAACAGCTGTTGCTGGCAGCTTGCCCCAACCAGTCTCAACAAGGAGCAAGACAGGTAGCCTGGTTTTATCAGACTCTGGGATCCCTTTCCAACCACTCCTGTGTGTTCCCAGCAAGACAATATATCAGCCTGTAGGAATGGCCCCTTGGTTTGGGGCCAAAACACAAGATGAGGTTGTTCTGAGGCAGCGTGCGCTGTGGCGAGGACAGCGTGTTTCCCCAAACAACACCTGGCAGCAGGGATTCAAAATAATGCTGAAATCAGGCCAATCCAAAGATTTGCTGGAGCTGCTAGTGATGCAAAACGAGGACAGGTGTGGCCATATTTCCAAAATTGCCCACGGCCAGTGTTTCAGGAACTTGGCAGCACCTGGCTGGGACAGATTTTCTAAGGAGGTCAGCACCCAAGATGTGGAGCCAGCGTGAAAACCCATCCCAGAATATCTAGCAGAGAAATACATCCCTTGAGGGTGGCACAAATGTTTCCCGACTGCACCAGGAGCAAGGAGACCTCTGACCCTTCTGCAGCCCCTGGACACAGCCTGGCAGTGCTGGAGACCTCTCCTACTCCCAGCCAGAGGTGAGTGAGCAATCTCTTTGAGTTGTCTTTGACTCAGTTTGTGGTTTGACAGCAATTCCTGTCATTTCTTGAAAAATACCTGTACAACTCCTTTTCTTTTTCTCTCCTTACCTTTTCTCTTTTCTTTCACTCTTGATTTTTTTCTGCACTTGGCTTTAATTTCCAAAGGGTTATTTGTGTTGTGGTGTGGAGCCTTCCCAGATGATGCTGGGAGCTGCACAGACACCTCTGTCTGTCCTGCTGTGCCTACCCAGGGCTCGGGCAGGGTGGCAGCTCCTCTGAGCCAGAGCAGGATACTCTGAATGAAGAGATGCCTCCAAACCACCTCTGTCCAGCCTTGGGAGAGGTGGGAGTTGGATCCCAGCTCTTGCCATGGTTCAAATTGGACTCAACCAAACCCAGACACCCATAAATTCTGGGAAAGTCTGGTTCTGAACTCTGTGGCTTGGACTCTTCTTTAATTGCAGGTCACTGCTAAAGCTGGTTGGAAAATGTTAAATACGTTCTCTGCAAAAATGGTTGTGCCGTTAAAATTTTTTCACAGATTTTTGTTCCTTGATTCTTGTAACTTTTTATTGAGGGCTCACATACATTTGGCTGTCAGTTTTTCCACTGAGCTTCCGTTTTTCCAACAGAGGAACAGATTAAGTGACAGAAAATCAAAACCCTCTTCATGTGCATTTTTGTCCGAAAACTTGGAAAATTCCAACCAAAACAAAGAAGAACTTTAGCCAAGAGCCATTTTTGTCAACGGAGTGCTCTGTGAGAAGCCAAATTGAAACCAGCCCTGGGCACAAAGCTAAACCGGCTGCATCCACAAAGTGTTGTGGGAAGGAGTTATCCCAGCGCTCGCTGCTGCCTCATCCTGTGCCCAGGGTGCTGTCCTTGCTGAGAAACCCCAGGGTGCAGCTGGAGGGGCTGCAGGAGCCCCAGGAGGGGTTGAACCCTGTGGCTGTGGCACCTGGGGACATGGCTCAGTGCTGGGGGAACTGGATGGGCTTGGAGGCTTTTCCAAGCTCAGGGATCCCGTGATTCTGCTGTGTTCCCTGCCAGCTCCTCCCAGCCTGTGCCCCTGGCTGCTGTCTCCACTCCTTCCCTGTCTTTAGGGCTGGGGAAAGTGCAAGTGGTGCATGGGCAGGACAGTGATCCAAAGGGACAGGGATGGATGTTCCTGGGAAGTGAAGGGTGTGCAAGGAGAATTTCTGCAGCGTCTCAGTGGAAAAAAAAAAAAAAAGAATTAATAAAAGAAAGCCAAGTGTCTTAAGCAATGGTGCTTCCTGCAGAGCCAAACAACAGTGAGGACAACCACCTTTGGGAATTGGTGATGCAGAAGAGCTCTTCTACCAGAGGAGGAAGCAAGGAAGTGGGAGGAAGCAAGTCAGCAAGACAGGCCAATGCTGCTGAGCAGCCTGGCCCATTGAAGTCTGCATTTTATTATTAGAATCATTATTATTTGTATTGTGGCAGCATCAAGTGGCCCCAACTGGAAGAGAGGCTCATTGTACAAGGCACTAAACAAACATGGAATAACAGACACTCCCTTCCCCGTGGGATGTGCTGGCACAGAAGACACACAGAGGACCACAGCGGACAGGAAATTGTCATTTTATGGCATTTCTTGTGAGTGTAACAGCACCTCTGTGCTAAGGACACTCTCCCACTACCCTTATTCCCATGGAGGGCCTGATCCAAAACCTAGTGGAGTCAGTGGAAGCGTGGACACAACTCAAACCAACATTTATTTGTGCTCCCTTCCTGCCTGTCTGTCCCCACAGCTCCTTGATACGCAACAGTTCTGGTTTCCAGGCAGCCCTGGCTGGATACAGATGCAGCCTTGAGACGGGAGGGACATGTTCACACTCCTCCTGGAGCTGGCAAAGCTAATTTTAGGTTTGTCAGCCTTGGTTAAGTCCTTTTAAAGGCTGACCCAGGAGGGAAAAGCCAACTGTGCAGCTGTGCAGAGGCCATGCACAAGGACCACGAGTCTCTGATTTCCCTGGCCTTCAGCTTTATGAACTGGGGATTACTGCAGCAGCCTTGGAAGGGAAACTTGAGATACATCCAAGGTTGACAGATCTCCCTGGATTAAGGTCACTTGCTTTAAAAATCCATTTTTTTCCACATATGTAAGTGGCTGGGACTCACTGTGTGCATCTCCAAGGAAAGTGGCACAGGGAAGCATATTCTGCAGGGACTCCAGTTCTGAAAGACAGTCCTTGTGCTGCCAGATGTGTGATAAAGAATAGCTCCAATTTACTCCATTTTTTTATGCTTTTATTTTAGTCAGCTGACTGGGACCAGAAGTCCAGGCCTGGCAGATGATGAGCACTTTGAAATCCATTTGAAACAATGGGGGCTGCAGAGGGAGCAGCTCCACACCAGCGGGTGGTGCTTAAGGGAGGCATCATTCCCTGCTTCCAAAACCTTACAGTGGCTCACAGCAGCAGATTCCTTGCCTGCCCATAATCTGGCTGCTCTTGGACTCACACAGATGATTGGATATTCCCAATGCTCCTGCTGAGCCTGACAAAAAGTCTCTGCACAACCCAGCTGAAAAATGTCAATTCTAGTGCTCCAACACGGCTCCCTGTGCAATGAGTGGGAGTTTTGCCATTTGCCACGGGCAGGATCAAGGCTCTTGATGATGGAGGTGGAACAGAGCTACTCAGATCTCAAGGAGGAGAAATGAAATGTGCTGTGTGAACTCCAACCTGTGTCACTGCCGAGTGAGGAGCCATGTGTGGAACATGTCCAGGGGTCCATTGCCCACTGGTGTCCCCAGAGGGGTGACACGAGAGCAGGCAAGCACAGCAGCTTGTGCCCAGGTTTGTGGCAGCTCTGAGAACAGGAAACTCTCTAGACAATTGTTCAGAGAGGTGTAGGCAGGGCACCATTTGCAGGCAGAGACTGAAAAGCAAGAAATCTTTTCCATCCCAAAGTGACCCCAACCCTTTTTGTTGTCTGCAAGGCATCTTACCTTGTCTCTGATCTCAACAATGCTTCTTTTTCAGAGAAGGGATTCTTTTGGCTCTTAAGCATCAAAATCAAGCACTCAGCAGCCAAGTTCTCAAAAGTGTAAGTGCTACTGAGAAGGAAGGATGCTCCCTGAGCCCCAACGTTCCCATGCCCCTGTGTTACAGTGTTTTTCTCTGCTCTGGCTCTGCAGAGTTTTCCTCCTGGGCTCCTGTCTCTTTCCATGTACCAGCTTGCTCAGTGAACCATTATTCACCCTTTTGCTGTTCCTGGTTGTGCAATGTGAGCCCCTGTGCCTCACTCACTGCTCCCTATTCAAATCCTGCTCCCAACACAGAATTATTCATTTCCTTGGGAGCGCTGTTCTGGCACTGATGACAGGCAGTAGCAAATTTTATTCTTCACATTCCCCTGTGAGGTGTGGGGGGTGGCATTTGCTTGGGTTCTAGATGACATTTGAGGCAGAGAGAAATCATGTTGAAGGGTCCTCACCAGCTCTGGTTTGGACACAATGTGTGAGCAGTCATGGTCCCTTGCAGTGCTGTAGCTTCTTACAGGCCCCCTGTCTTCAGATCCCCCCAGGAACCTGGTGAATGCAGAATGCATTTTAGTGATGATCTGGGAATCTTTTATCCAAGTGACTTGTCTAATTTTGCTCAAAAATTGTGTGGCAGAGGCAAGGATTTGACTGACACTTTTTCCAGGTTGGTTTTCAGCTGCCTTAACTGGTTCTCTTTCTGATTTCCTCCTTAATTGCCTACATGCTTCCCATCTCCTGCAGCAAATGGAGCAGGAGCAATCAGGTTATAGCTGCCATCACCTTGCAGCCTTTATTCACCCCCGAATAAGGTCTTGCCTGCATGCTGATAGAAAGTGAGGAGACAAGGACATGGCAATAAAATTGGTGATAAATGTTTTTGTGGGGCCACAATAAATTGACAGACAGGTCATCAGGTCTGTGTCTTCTCTGGTTCCTTCCAGAATGGTTTCATTTGAATTAATCTAAACCAAAAGAGTAAATAAAACCTCAAGGCAAAGCAGACCATGGCAGGCCTTTGACATGAAATTTTCTGCTCAAGTGATGAAAGTTTGGCAAAGATTTCAGCAAGTCTTGGCATCAGGGCAGAGCTGCAGCACCAACCCTGAGAGCCACGTTTGACTGCTGGAGTGACCTCATAGCGTTTTGCAACCAAAGAAAGTGAGATGAGACAGTGATATTAAAGGTATTAAATCATTAAAGATTGCAGGAGTGGTAATCTGAGGTTCAAAGGCTGGTGGAGATGCTGGAGATAGGGCTGAGCACTGCATCCATCAGCTGGGACACTGCTGTGCCTGGGGCTCTTGGCCTCTACAGCACAAGATTCCCCAGGAGAAAGCTGGGCTGAGGCTCTGCAGCTCTCCTTTCATTTCTTATGATGGATTTCTGGGTGTGGAAGTAGTTTAGAACTAAAATGGAAACCCTCCCATGCAGCTTTTAAAAATAAACAGGCCTTGAAGGGAAAGCTCTGCTTGGGCAGAAGTGGGGCTGGCCTGACTCAGGGACTCGTGGCGTGCTCACTGAAGTGAGGGGTAGGAAAGGAAAGTGGAACAAGTTCTGCCTTGCAAAAGGCAATGGGAGTCAGGGAAGAGGGTGTGTTTGACATGGGGGATGGAGTCATGGCAAGGGAACATTCCAGTAAAGAAGGAAACACTGCTCAAGAGATGCTGGTGATGTGCCTTGGCTGTGTGCTCCTGCATAAACCAGAGAAAAGTTGGGACACAAAACTGGGATGTGATCAGCAGGGAAGGGTTCTCCAGCTTCAGGATTCATCAGTGTGGGTCCAAACCTAAAGCAATGGCTCTGTTTCCAGTGAAAAGTACTAATCACAGAAATCCTTTATCCTGCAGATCCCAAAAAATGGAATAACCCCTTCAAGGCTCCCCTCTGGATGGGAAAACACTGCTTGGTTCAGCTTTGCATCAGCACAACTCTTCCCCCAGCACATCCTTTGGGACAGGTAGGAATAATATCCATCAGTTCCTTTTAATTGTTGGGCAATAGAGAAATTTTCACCACTGGATATATATATATTGCTCTTAAACTTTTCCTCTAAAAAGTCTCCTGTTTAGAGAACAGAGTAACAGCCATCCCTTAATATAATATATTTAAACATCATGATAAAAGTCCTCTCTGGGGAATTTGACAATACACTATTCCACCAACATTGTAATGGATGGTTTTCTTCTTTTAAATGCCTTGCCATTAAAGTTTAATGAGCAATACTTACTTTCATTCTAAACTTATTTTTCTCCTTGACAGATTGGATACTTAGTTTGGATTTGTTAACATTGCTGGTCATAAAAATGTCTGCTTCAAATAAACTGATAGATACTGTCCTTAGGAAATTGGGCTTTGATGCCTTTTTTGATTTCCATGGCAAAGTAAGTTCATGTTTCTTTTTTGGAAAAAGTGAGGTACTGTACAGAGAAAGCTGAGAACCTCATGCCCCTTTTTATTTGCCTGAAATTTCAGTTTACATCAATTTCAGTTTTTATCAATTTTTTCTATTTATATCAAATTTCAGTTTACATTATTTCTGTGTAGCTCAGAAAAGTTCTAACTCACACTGGACTTTTTAACATGAGGGGGCATTTGTGGAATTTTCAATGGAGCTTTGACTTTCTCTCTTCTAATCCTTTAAGAATATGTACCAAGAATAACCAGAAATGAAATTGCAACAAAAGCTCCTGTCTTTACATCAGGGTTATTTATGGCATCACACATCTTAACCAACAGTCTGGTTAATGTTCTTCAGTGTTTCCAGTCCTCGTGGTTTTACTTTCAATCTCACAATATTACTATTTCTCCTTATTCTGCAGTTTCCTTCCAAAAATTTATTCTTGCCATCGATTTGGGAAGGGAAGGCTCACCTTATGAATTCTCATGCTTTAAGACAAGTAGACATTTATTTTGAACCTTAAACCAAAAGAAACTGCAGAGAAGGAGGGATGAGCCTGACATGATTTTTCTTACATTCAATTTGTCCTTCCTCTGACATATTCAGACTCTCGGAAGAGTCTCTGTGATCGTGACAAGCCTTGTGCTTCAGGAACAAACAGGGAGGAAAATCTCCTTGACCCCCAGAGTGCCTGATGGCTGAGAGTGTTGTTAAGAGTTACAGCAGAGAAACAAAGCCAGTGATTCAAAGGCTTGCAAGAAATATTCACGGGGGGGGGCAAAAATGCTGACCAAGGACGTTCAGAATTTCTTTACCATCATTTCCTTCCAACAGCTGCTGTTGTTGCCCTCTGCTCCAGAGCTGAGCTGCAGCACCTACCAAGGAGCCTTTTCCCAGCTCAGACAAGGGCAACGGGCAATTGAGATTTGAAGACTGGCAAAGAAAGAAGCAGCCCACAAATAGCCGGTAGAAAGCCCTACAACAGCGCAGCAAACATTTCCTAATTTACTGCAATGCCAGAAGATGAGTCACCCCAGTGTTCCTGTTGCATAATCTTCCCCAAAGCTCAGGAGAGTGAAACCAGAGAAGCAAAGGTCTCGCTGGGCTTTCAGTGACATTTATGTTTAGACTGAACTTTCAGTTAGGAAAGTGTGAGTTTTTCTCTGATGACAAAGGAGGGGGAACCGATAGAGTAAGGTGTTCTTTCGGAAATGATAAACTCCTGGGTGTACAGATTGTCATCTCCCTAAGCCCCCAGCCGGAGCACGGGCTCCTCTGCCCTTCCTGACTCCCAGACAGGTCTCCCCATGACCTGTTCAGCCTTGCCTGGTCCCCGGGGAGCACAGCTGGGCCCTGAGAGCTGTAAAACCCCTCCAGACAAAGCACGGCCATCCCTCAAGGCTGGCTTAGCTCACGGAAGGATCGTGGGGCTCCCCAGACCTTTCGGTGGCTGCAGGAGGGCTGGAAACTCCTGACACGTGTTTGCCGTGCCTCAGCATCGTGCCGGGGTGGATCCAAGCCTTCCAAAGCAGCAGGATCCCCTGGCACGCAGGGAGCCCCGGGCACACACGGCTGTGCTGCTGTGCAGGCACCGGGAATCCCACCTGCGAGAAGGGAGTCGGGGCAGGCAGCGAGGCCACTGCTGCACAGCCCCTGAGAGGTGGTACTTATGTACTGCTCTCTATTTTAGCGGCTAATCCACTTTTTATTCTTTAAAATCAAAGAATCAAGTCAGGTGAATTAGGGAATGCTGCTCATCTTCAGAGGAATGTCAGGCTGAGGGCTGCATTCCTGCTGGGCTGTGTTATCCTGGGTTAGTGCCTGGTGCCAGGCATTTTTCTGTGCTGATTTGGTGAAGGTTGTTTCAGAGGAGCCGGAGTGAGCAGCACAGGACTCCTCCACACCTCAGCAACTTTCTGCTCTCTGTTCCACCAGAGTGAACCAGGTTAGTTCCTCCTTCTGGGCACCATTACTACAGGCAATGTAATTTCTTCCTCTCTCTGATGAGAGTAGAAGAATTTCCTTTATTCAGAGAGACAAAAAAAGAAAAAAAAGCGCCGAGTATTCTGAGGGTAGTTTTGTTTTTCTCAGCATTTCTGTGGGATTTCCAGGGCTGTTTCACGTCCCCCTCCCTCCAGCTGATGACCTAAATGAGCTGCCGATGGCCAAAAGCATTTGTGGAGTGCTTGTGTGGAAGAAATGCCCTTTTGGGAAGGGAAGGGAGCTCCTGAGCACAGCCTGGGCTCTGCAGGCCCTGGTTCAGGCAGAGCCATCTCCTCCCTGCAGCAGGGAATTTCTCCTGCTGGCTCCTGCTCCGTGCTTTGCCCTCTCACCAGGTCTGGCTGCACCCTCTGCACCCAAGCATGGACCAAACAATCCACGGGCTCGGCCTCGAGGAGCAGAGAGGGAGATCCCCAGGTGCTCAACAACAGCTGCTGGAGAGAGGCACGGGTAATCCTGAAACTAAAGAGGCTTTAGGGTTTGAGAACAAGAGGACACAGCGAGGGCAAGCTCAGTGCCACGGGGAGCACTGGGAGCCTTGGGTTAAGCTCAGTGACATGAAGGCTCCTCACGTTTTTCAGCAGAGACCACAAAGCCAAGAGGCAGCTGCCTGTGGCTGAGAGAGGCTGCCTGACTCACCAGCGTGCCACCATGGCATGGGAGAGTGCAGGGAAGCACAGCTCCATCCCTCCCAGCCAGGAGCAGGAGCCCTGCCAGAAAGGGGAACAAAAACTCATCAACTCAACCACAGCTGTGGTAGGGAAAGGAAGATGGGGTTTCACAGCCTCTCTGCTCGCACATGAGGGCTGCACAGCACAGGGAGGGAGGGTAACCCCACACTGCTCCCAGCCTCACACCATTCCCCAGAGGAGCTGAAGGCTTGTGGTTTTGGGTAAGGATGGGATGGAGCAGGCAAAGGCATCGAGGCGTGGCTGCCTCCTACATCCCTAAAGCCATTACATTAAATGGAGCCATCCATGAGCAGAAAACACAAACTGGGGCAATTGTGGAGGTACAGGTTCAGCTGACAGCCTGAACAGACAGAGCAAGGGCCTGTGGTGGTGCAGATGATGCTGAGATCCCTCTGACTGCTCTGTCAGCAGCACGATACACCAAAAGGGAAATCATGTGTATACATGGATTTAGAATCTACCTGAGAGGCCATAATTCCTACCATAAATGATTCCTGTCATGCTCTGTGCACTGAAAGTTCCATCTAAAGAGAGCAGCTCTCCAAAAGCAGGACTGTGCACAGCTCCCTCAGAGGTACACAGTGGTTTGGAAATGATGGGGTACCGACCCAAAAGGAAACTTTCTCAATCCTAGATATTCTGCATGAAAATACTTGTGGAATTTTGGGAGGGGAGGAGGGAAGTGCCTTCAATTTTCAGTGCTAAGCTTGAAGCAGGTGTTTGTGGCCAAGTTATTAAACGGTTTCTGATGGATGGTGGCACCACCTTAACTGCAGCAACAATGGCAGGGGCTGCTGAGGCTCTGTGCTCAAAGCAGCTGGGCTGCAGAAATGGGAAACAGCCTCTTGTTTGTTCCTCATTCTGAAGCAGGGAGGGCATATGTGCCTCCTGTGGCACAGCCCCTTCCTCTTGTATCCTCTAATCTGTGATCTTCAATATCCTGTTTTAACTGGAAGTTAAGGCTTTAGCTTCATAAGGCTGCCTGCAAACTGGGAGGATGAAACTGAAGCAGGGCATGGATGCACGTCAACTTCAAAGTCCTGCAAAACAAACACGTGTTCAAGTATTCACTCAAATCCATTCTGTGTCAAGGAAAAAAGTATAAAGATGATTCAGTGTTTTGATCAGCAAAGGCAGATTTAAGCATACACTTAATTAATTCAGAAATTTTGTGCCCAAGGGCTGCTCCAAAAGTGTTACAAGATGTTCCTTTTTACAGAAGATCTTTTAGAGAATTCTCTTTGCAGAGTCTCATGTTATTCTATCTTAATTCATTACAGGCTAGACTTTGCCACTTCCATTAATGCAAAACCATCCCTTCATGTCAAACTGAAAATAGCTAAAAGCAAAGCCCTACTTTAACCCTTAAAACAAGCAGAGTGCTGAAGGTACTGTTACAGAGAGGAGGCTGTGCCTGTGCTCTGTTTGATCTGTGCTAACTGGGGCTCTTCAGGCCTGGGACATGCCTTGTTCACTGGAAATCAAATTGCACCCTGTCATAACAGTCTATTAACAGCCCTGAATTTCTGCACAGCTTCACCTCTTTGCTAGAAGATAACATTTCTCTTTCCTCCCAAGGAGAAAATAGCTTCCTTTCTTGCAGCCCTGCATATAATGGTGCTATTGCTTGACAGGGATGTCAACTTCCCTTGACTATTAAGGAGAGGGGAAATGTCTTTGTTACACATTTCTGTTCTCCTTTCATCCTCTTCAGAGAGGCCCCCAGCTCAATCTAAACAAAATAAAACCAGGGTATCAGTTAAAAACAAAACCATTTTGAAAACTCTTTGATCTCCCTGGCTTCCTGTTAAATATACAATCGACTGTTTCTCCACATCCTTGACCACTACAGATCTGATTTTCTCTGCAGTTTATATTGACTTTGGCACCACACAAAATTAACATATCATTGGCTATAAAATCTCTTAAAGGCAAAGAAATCCAACCCCTCCTCAGCTTCACCTTTGCCTCTCTGTGTTCTCTGCTTTTCAATCTTGCCACCCACCCTTCTGTTTGTGTACAGGGAGCCTGGGGTTGGAGCCTGTCTGTTGTCAGACTCCTGTTTGTGACTCTGTCTGTCCTTCAGCCCTGTCCCCAGGCCAGCACAGACTGGTGGCTCTGGACAAACCCAGCATCTCCTTTGCTCTCAATCTGCACATCTTTTTCCCCCTTGGAAGTTCCTCCTGCCCTGCTCCACCAGCACTGTACAGGGACTCTGTTGGCTTTGGTGTCTTTTTCCACTCCTGCCCTTGCCTTGCTCCGTCCTGTGGATGGGGAGGAGCTCTGGGTGCCCTCCCCACGTCCCACCACCCTCCCTGCTGGGCCTGCCTGCCCCCATCCCTCCCTTCCTGTGCTGCTGGGTTAACACTCACTCCATGATCTTGGAGAGCTTTTCTTCATGGTTCTGTGATCCTGTGCAGCTCAGCTGCATCTCAGCCCTGCCCTTCTCCCTTTGCAGAATTTCAGCTTTTCCACTCTATTCATAAGGAATTTCTTCTCTCTCAAAGGGCTTTGTGCCTTCATCCTCACCCCATTGCCATTTGAACAATCCACTGCCTTTTTTTCTTTTTTTTTTTTCCCCTTTGGGAGGGTGACAGTGGGTGGATGGGAATGGGACAGTTTGCTGTCAGTTTTCTGCTCCTTGAATGTATCTCAACTGTCCAGTGTTCATCAATTTTGGTGCATTAATGACTCAGACAACATTTACTAATGATTTAGGCTGAGGAGGGAGTTCTATCTGATAGAGATGAATAGATTGTAAGGTATTTAGGTCTCACTGTACTTGTGCAAAGCACTGCACATAATCTATGGAGTTCTACAAGTAGCAACAGGAAGTTTAATCCTCTGTACTGGCAAACTGGTGACTTGGTCTCTTCCAGCATTAATGACACTGAAGAAATACAAAACGTTGTAGCTTTCAGGACTAACTGCTCCATTAAGTGTAGCATTTTGAGCAAGAGAAATGTTTGCACACAATGGAAAGTCACATAATGCTGCTCCATGCACAGATCAGATAAATTGTTCTGTAGCTTCAGTGACAGCAGAGACAAAAGGCTCTGTCTCCCTCATTGCAGCACCAACATCTGGGTGGCTGCCTCCACATTTCTGCCCTGACTTGAGGCCTCTCCAGTCCCAAAAGCAGGGAGGGAACATTGTTTCTCATTCCTCAGGTAGCCCCAAAATGGGCCAGGGCCTGAAGGGGCTGGCAGGGTGGGATGGATCTGAGTTTTGCCATGACAGCACAGAAGTGGGGACTGAGTTTGCACACACTGCAGGGAGATTTGCTGTCACAATAATGGATCTCATGGGGCTTTGGGTGGCTGATCAGAGAAGTATTTCACAGCTTGCCCCATTTCCCTTCTTGCTTCAGAAATGTTTTATAAAATAAAACTAATACTTTATAAAATGAAAACAATAATTCATAAAATTAAGGGCCCAGAATATCCAAATTGCTCTGTAGAAGAGTCCCTCAGGTTACCAAGTACCAACTCAAAGCAGAGCAAAGACTGAACTCTCATTTCCCATAAATCCACTGAAATCCTGCCCTGCGCTGCAGCAGCTTTGGGACCTTCCTGCCTGGCAGAGCTCTCCATACCTCAGTAGCAATGGTCTTTTTCAGGATTCTCCTTCCATCAAAGCCCCAACTGATGATAAAGAAATTACATTGATTTTGGGTGTTCTTCCCTGCTGACAGCCTCCTCCCCCCTCCTCCCCAGCCCCCTTTCTACAGCCACCATGGAGATCTGGAGGATTCAGACCCAGGAGATCCTCAGGTCACAGCTCAGGAGTCTTTGAGGAAAACACAATTCTCAGAACTGGCAGAAGACCTACAAACAAGCTGACTCATTTCAGACATGCCTCAATCTCCACCTCAGCAAGCCTGGTTAAGTTCTTAGGAAACAACCCAGAAAGCAATGCAAACCCCAAACCAGAAACCAGAGTTGCAGACAACCATCTTTGCAAATTTAGTTTCTAACCTGGCTTTCTTTCTTTCAGGCATGGAGCAGCTCTTTGGGAAGCTCTGTGAACCCCTTGGTTTGTCATGGCTGCTCCTGGGCAGTGATGGCACAGGCAGCTTCCCTAAAAGAAAGGTCAGCCACGAGGTCACTCCCTGTGGACCAGAGCTCAGGTATGGACCTGTCCATTAACCTTTATCTAGCAGCACATTCCACATCCTGTAAGTGGGCAGCATAGTGAAATTTCTGCCTAAAGTGATCATTGTTAATATTTTCTGTATTGTTATAAAAATATCCTTACTTTCAGGAATTTGCCTACAAAGTTCTGGGCTTACACCACGAAATTATGCAATAGTGCAAGGGATACTGAAATATATACATATTTTGAAATGTGAATGTGTATGATAAAGCAAGGAATCGATGAATATTTAATAACTGACATACAGCATTCTGGTTTTTTCAACCCAAGGACTTTCCAACTGTCCACCAGCCAGGGAAGCTGTGGCTGCCCCACCCCTGGAAGTGTCCAAGGCTGGGTTGGAAAGGGCTTGGAGCAACCTGGGATAGTGGAATGGGATGAGCTTTAAGGTCCCATTCTGGGATTCTTTACAAACCCTGATTTCCTGCCTGTGATGGGTTTTGTATCAGCCCCCCCAGAATAAAGAAGCCAGATCTCTTTTCCCAGCTCCCTCATTGCACTGGAGGCACAAATTACATTTTACCTTCTGCAAGCTGGGGAGTTGCAACCAGCTCTGGTGCCTTTGGGGTAGGCGGGGAAAGAAGTGTGGCTGATTCTAAATAAAAGTTACTGTCAGATCAACCTTGATAGCAGATAATGGCAGTGATCACATGGGAATAAAGACTCAGGCTCTGGTTTAATCATCACTCCCTATCAGCTGCACCGATGCAGTTCTGCATGACTAAGTCAAATAAATGTTAGGTAACTGAAATTATCTCCTTGCTTTGTACTCCCCCCACCAGTACCCACAGTTTGTTTCGGGGACTTTGAAATAGGGAAATCTGTAAAGGACATCTGTGAGTGCTGATAACAAACAGGACAGGGTTTTTGTGAAGAGGTAGCTGAAGTTAAGCTATGAAAGAGAATTCCAGAGGCAAGAAATAGTCCTAAGGTCATAAAAATCACGTGTGCCTTTGAAAATTTCTATCAAGGCTGTACCCAGCTGCCTAAATTGGCTTCCATTCACTTCACAGGGTCTCTCTAAGTGCTGGAGCACGTGATCTTCAATTCTACTCCCAAAAACTTGGGAGGGGAAAGACCACCAATATTGAAAAAATGACTTTGACACATTACAGAAAGCCCTGTAACTAGTGGTGTGACATTTTCATTTTACAAGATCCCCAAAATCTCATATTGAAACCAATAGGAAGCCTCATGCAGGCAGTCCTGAGGTTTGGCTTGAAATCTTGATCCAGATCCAAGTTATGCTGGTTAGTTTATCCTAAAAGAAAGGATAAATGTGTAGGATCCCAATGTGTTCCAATAAAGCAGCATCCTTAATTTGTTCAGTATCTCAGGTAAATTAAAAATGAATAATTAATTGGACTTTCTCCACAGCTCTGGTTTCTTTTGCAATGCCCCTACCCCTCAGGAGCTGACTGCAAGCTCACACAGGTGATGTTCCTTAAATCCTTAACTCCCAGGAGGACAGAATTGCATCAGAACCTCCACTTTCATCTCACCTCAGCTCACCTCATCTCATCTCTTACCTGGGCCAAGACAAGCTAGGAAACATGACCCCTTTGACACCCAGCAAAAGCTGAAGGAAGGAAACAACATTATTATTATTATTATTATTATTATTATTATTATTATTATTATTATTATTATTATTATTATTATTATTATTTTAATTTATTTGCTAAATTTCAGACCCATTTTAACAGGTTTCACTCAGGAGTTTTCAGTGTTTGAGTTGGTAATTCTGCCTTTAGCCCCCACAGCAAGCACTACTCTGTGTATTTGAACTGAATTTGATTTAAGTTTAGTTTTAATTTAGGGCAGCCTGCCCAGATTTCTTTCCCCTCTGCTGACAAACTTGGCAATGCTTTTACAGGGCCCAGAGAGCGTTTCAGCCTCTCTGCAAAGAGCCTTCACACAAAGCACTTTATTTGCCCCAGAACAAATAAACAAGGAGTAAACATCCCTCCTCTTACACACACAGAACATTTCCTTGTCATTCTCTTCCCATTTGTGCCATTTCTACTGCCCAAGTGGGACTTGAGCTTTATGAAAATGTTATGAAAAGGCAAAGCTGCATTTTTGCAATAGTAAGGACTCAAAAGAAAAAAATAAACCCAAGGTTTTTTGTATGTTTGCATGCACAGCTTGTGGACTCTCTCCAGTTCAGCTGTGTTTGAGGATCCCAACAGTGAAGGGACTGTGCTCTGTTCAAAATGCAGTGAAACCCCAGGAGGGGAGAGCAGGCAGATTGGGGTGGTTTGATTTCCCCGTTTTTTACCTTGAAGAATGCACTTTCTTGGGTTACACATTAAACTGTCAGGAGGCAAAATCAACACTTGGGATTCTACAGGGAGCTGGAAACATTGCTCCACACAGCATGGCCATGCAGAGCTTCTCCCACAGATCTTCAAGTTGTTTCCTTATCTAACCAAGATATGTATAAATATTAAATATTATTCATGGGCAAATAATTCCATGCCACTCCTTGCTGCTGCCTTAGAGTATTCTTGGTTGAAATGAAAATGACAGTCCCTTTGTGAGGCCTTCAATGCATTTTAGGTTAAAAGGATTGAAGAAAAAAAGAAAAGAGAGAAAGGGTAACTTAATTAAGTAAACCTCAAAAATGAAGAAGTGGCCTTTAACTGTTGGTTTTAATGTAGGGGAGCCACCACCACATAAAAACTACTGACTAAACTCTATAGTAATAGCAATTAGTCAAGTCCCACTTGACTTGGGTGAGGTAGGGCTGGGATCCAAAGGATTCACTCCCTGCTGTGTGCATGGATGGATCTTGTGAGCAGCCTCAAGCTCTGCCCAGGTTCTGCACAAGTCTTGGCCCAAACAAAGTCAGGCCCAGAGTTTGAACCTGAGCAGGATCTCCCTGCAGTGCTGGGAGGTCAGTTTGGCCAGGCTGTTTCTGTTTCCCAAAACTGGTGGGACTGACCTCTTCATTACAGGTGAATTTTTTCATTAAAATGTTCCTTAAGAATATCCCTTGTGCACAAGGAAAAGTGTGTTCCTCCAGAAGAGGATTCTTCTTGCAGAGGGCCAGGCATGCCAGCAGTTGTGGACAAGAAGCCACTGCAAGTGGAACATTGAAAACAGGAGCTTATTCATAAAAATAATGTATTTATATTTACTCCTTTAAAGCCTTTGCTCAGGAGCTTTTTTAAAGTTCAGCTGGATAGAAAATGCCCATTTCAAAACCAAAGCAAAGACTTTAACAGATGTGCCCTGGCGAAGAAAAAGGGTGCAGACACAGCAAGGAATTGAGAAAGGACAGACAGTCATACATGGACACGGGAAAGGAATCTCAAATAAATGTTTGTGGCTGGGAGCTGGAGTTTTTGTGTTACCTGTAATGAGCCTCTGGTTTTGGGGCCTGGCCTATTCCTCTCTTTTTTTCCTGACTGCAGCTTTTGGTGCTTTTTGTGCTACAGCAGTCAGGGGAATCTCACCAGCACCTCGCTCCCTCCAGCAACCAGGGGAGGGATGCATCTCATGAGGAGAACTGTCCCTAAAACTAAGATTTTATTTGGATTTTATTTCTTAGCCATATTAAACCCCATGAAATTTCAGGTTGCCAGAGTGGGACAGGGCCATGTTTGTCACACTGAGAGCAGCCTGACAGCTGCTCCTTGTATGCAAAGTCTGGGCAGGGCTGAGTTTGCAGGTGCTGCCTCCTCACACCCGGGTGCTGAATATCCTCCACTGCATCCCTCAGGATATCAGCACATCCCACTGGGTGGCCACCCTAGTGACAATTTTATCTCCAGCCTAATTAAAAGCATATTAATTTCAGGCTGTTAGCCCATTTGGAAAGATTAGATCAGGCCTTATCCCAGTGATTGTGGCTCAGGAGAGGGCTCAGCCTCAGGAGGCTTTTGTGTCCCTGTGTGTCCTTTTCTGTGCTCTGACAGCCATGCAGGAAAGAAGCTGGAGTGTCCTCATCAAGATCTTTTATTTTCTCTCATGACACTCCAAAACCAAACAAGGAACTGTCCTCCAGACTATCACCGTCTGTTTCCCTTCACATATTGGACACTTGCAAACCATGCCAGGAGTCCCCATGTAAGAGCCTATTAAGATTTCAAAGCCAAACCTCTGGAAAGAGGAGGGAAAAGCAGAGCTGGGATTCCCTCTGAAGGTGTTTGTGAGGAGGGGCCCTGCCTGGAGGGGTGTGCCATAAGGGGTTTGTGAGGAGAGCTGTGTGGCCCGGCCCAGCAGGATGTGCCCTGTCAGTGAAGCAGAGCTGAGATTCCCTCTGCACCCTCTGAAGGTGTTTGTGAGGGGGCTGAGGGGCCCTGCCCAGCAGGATGTGCTGTGTTAGTGA